TTTTTTAAATAAGATAACACAAAAATGCTTAGCATAGCGTCTGAAATAGAATCTTTCAATAAATGTTAGCTGTTGTTATTAAATGAACACCACAAACATTCAAAAACCTTCAATAATTCCTTCTTGAGCTGTAGAATAAAATCCAAACAGTGAACAGCCTGGCCCCAAACTTCTGCTACTCCACCCACTTACCCGTCCCGTCCATCCCCTCCACCATGCCCAGAATATCCACCATTTCCCAAATTTACTAGGTCCTTTCACGCCACTGTGCCTCTCTTCCAATGTGGCATTGTCTGGAAGGCTCTCCCCATTCTTACCAATCCTGCCTGTGTGTACCACCCCCACGGTGCTCACACACCTTCAAGATCCTGTCCAAACAGCAGCCCCCTCTGTGATGCCTTCCAAGATTCATATGGGTGCAGTTGACTGCTCTTTCTTCACTGTTTTCACAACAAATAGTACATAATGCTCCTCAGGTACATATACTGTTGATTGCCCTCAATTTATAAAGACTATTTCCCCTGCTCGTGAGCACCTTGAAGGCAAAAATTCAGAGGCAAGGGAGCAGACACAGACTGAGAGAAAGAGGTGGACAGGTCACCAGAAATTCTAGTATAGGAACCAAGTGTGCTCATTAGTCACGCGGTCTCTTCCGCTCCCCCTTTTTTACAGTATTTCCAACATTCTTAAGTCCTCTACACCCTTCTCTTTGCAGTGCACCCATTCAGGAAAAGCTCAGCCCGAGATGACCTCCTAGGCTGTGGCTGGTGTACGGTAAAGGAGAAAAATCACACCACTGCACAGGTAGTTACCATGAGAAATTCACGGATTCCACCCATAGCCGAGCCCTTAACGAAGCAGCCTTGATCAGCTCCTCTTTCGGATTCCTCACACCTTTGCCATTCTCACCATCCTCTGCGCGACCTCCAAATCCCTCTTTCTCAGAAGAAAACGTTTCCTCTTACTTTTTTCAAGAAATGTGAGGCTTTACAAACTGCCCAGCCACGCATTTTCCTGCATCTACACCCACCCATACTTTCAGTCTGAAAGGGTGTGGTATCCCTTTTCCTATGCGAGGCCGTCCTCTTTGGTCCTGCCTTGGAGCCCTCCCCTCCAAGCCTTGCTTCAGCAGAAAAACCCTCTCTACTATCTTCCACCTCTTCCTTTCCGGAGGGCCCTCTCCCCCCTCAGCCTCTTCGTTTCAACACAAAGAAGTCTCTCCCATCCTTAAAAATGGGTAGACAAATAACAATCAAACAAGATAATAACGATCTTCCCTTAACCCCATGATACTATGTGTTACCAGCTACTGCCCTCTATTTTGTTTCTAAGCCAAGTTTGTGAAAGACGCCAGAAATGGCGTCTCCATTTCCCCCCTTCCCATTTCGCTTCTGGACCCCTATAGCGCAATCCAGACTCCACTACCATTTCTGGTAAAGAGCATCATGTCCTAAAACTGGAAAAGCTCCAACAGGTGTCCTTCCATCCTGATTTTATTGGATCGCTCTAAAGCAGTGACTGCTCGCTCCTAGACCTTCTCCATCCCAAGGCTTTCTTGACAATACACTTATTCACTCACTCACTCTTCCAACATAGAGTAATTGAGCATCCATTTGTGTGCCACCCTCTGAGCCTGGAATTAAACATGAGCAAAATAAATACGCTCCCTATTGTGGAGCTTAAAATACATCAGAAGTTCAACATATCAATCAAATCAATCATAAAGACAAACGTGTAATTACAAAACCTGGCGAGTACTCTGAAGCAAAGACCAAGAGAGCAGCAGAAATGCACCTATTACAGTAGGGGAGCAGGGAGTGGTTAATGAAAGCTTCCCTGAAAAAGTTGCTTTTTGAGTTGAGCTCTGAAGGAAGGGTGACAAAGTGAGGAGAGGGAGAGCATTCCCGGTAGAGAATACAACATATGCAAAGGTCCTGTGCCAAGTAGGAACACAGGCAGCCAAGGAACCGAAAGGAAGGCAAACAGCATGAGAGAAAGGGAGATGTGGATGGGTGGTAAGCAGGTCATACAGAACCTTAAAGATTTGGGTCCTTATTCTTAGAGTAGTGGGAAGCCATGGAAAACAGTTAAATGTGGGACTGAGTGAAAAAAGACATGACGAGGTTTTCATTTTTAAAAGATCACTCTAGGGAAGACACTGAGGAGGAGTCAAGAGTAAATATAAGGAGACTACTTAGAAAACTACTCCAATAGCCAAGTGAAAAATAAAGCTTGAACTAAGATGGTGGTAGTGGACATGGAAAGACCCAGGAAGACCATACTTACAAAGTAAAATCAGTAAGGATTGGTGGCAGACTGGTTGTGGAATGTTAGGGAAACAGAGTATCAAGGACGGTTCCCAGGTTTCTGACTTGGTGATACCATTCACTGACACAGGAAAGACTAGGGAAGGGAAGGGGAGAAAGCGTTAGCTTGATTTCGGATAAGTTTAATGGGCCTTTGAGATAGCCAAGAGATAATGTCAGTGGACAGTTGGTGTAGGGTGAGGGTCGGCAAACTATGGCCCACTGGCCAAATCTAACGTACGATGACTCTTTGTAAATAAAGTTTTATTAGAACACAGCCACATTTATTCATTTAGATATTGTCTAGGGCTGCTTTTGCGCTACTCAAGCCGAGGTGAGCAGTTGCAACAGAGACCTATGGCCCACAAAGCCTAAAATATTTATCCTCTATCCTTTTACAAAAGTTTGCCGGCCCTGGTTTAGAGCAAAGAAGAAATATGTGAGTTACAGTTATAAGTCAGAATCTCCTTAATGTCCCTCCAGCCCTCCAGCCAACACTCCACACTGATTGTGTCACACACACACACACACACACACACACACTCCACATGTGATTTAAGTTAACCCAAAGTATACGTCTCAAAAAATTTGCTGGAAAGTTATTTAAAGACTCTATGCCTTATTCATGTTCCTCTCTCTGTCTGGAATTTACTTACTCTCTATCTCTAACTACTACTTCTCCTTCTCCTCCTCCTTCTTCTTTTTTTAAGTTTATTTATTTATTTGGGGCGGGGGGGTGGAGAGAGAGAGAGAGAGAGAGAGAATCATCAGGGGAGGGGCAGGGAAGCGGGGGAGAGGGAGTGAGGACAAAGGATCAGAAACAGGCTCCGCACTGACAGCACAGAGGGCTCAAACTCAGGAACCATGAGATCATGACCTGAGCCAAAGTCGGATGCTTAACCCACTGAGCCACCCAGGTGCCCCTCAACTTCTTTCAAGATTGAACTTCGGTGGCACACCCAGGAAGTCTTCCCTGTAACCTCATGGCTGATTAAGGGCATCTCTTCTGTGCTCCCACAGTTCCTTGCACAGTTCTCTCTTAATACCAGATTCTAAAATTATCTATTGGCTTGTCTGTCTTCTCCAATAGAGGCTGAGCTCATTAAAACAGAACCTAGGGCATTGTGGATGCTCAGTACTATTCAACTGAACCAAATCAACACAGTTTCCTTTGTATGAAACAAAAATTCTTGCCAAACAAGCATAAAATCTACAAGTTCTGGGCAAGTTTTGGTTACTGAATTAGAGTAAGTACCCCATTAATAAGTCTACCGACAACCAATTTCTTGTTAATATATCTTAACTCCGTGTTCATTAGCATGATTTCACCACAAAGTTATCAATATGTAAAGTCACTTTACTGAAATCTAAAAATTGGATAAGTGGGTCTTAAGTATATAGAGAAAAGTAAGATCCATGGATGAACTAAACTAATGTACCTGTCTCTCCCTTGCAGGGAGAAGGGATAATGACCAGAAGGAAGTATAAGGAAGGCTTCTGGAGTACCAGTGACACTTTAAATCCTGACTTAGGTGCCAGTTACCCGGGTATGTTTAGTTTCTAAAAATTAGTTTCTAAAAATTTAGTTTCTAAAAATTAAAAGTATGTTACAATCAATAGATGTAAAATAATTTGTCTACTCTACCCAAAAAATAAAATAAAATAAAATAAAATAAAATAAAATAAAATAAAATAAAATAAAATAAAATAAAATAACTAATCCACTGTTACATTCATTCAGAAATTTTCATCCTAAACCCAATGTATTTAGGGATATTTATATTTTCTCCTGAGTAAAAAAGCATTCTTGCCAAGTCAAAATAGCCAACAATAGAAATATAACCATTAACAAGGTTTTTTTTAATCTGGGAGGAAAACAAGAATATCACGCTGAAACATATGTAATTTTATGCACAGAAGGAAAGAAAAGAATATGACAAAACAAAACTCCCAAGTTTTACACACTCAACTTCCCGGAATACAAAGCTGTCAACGTTTGTTTCACAAAAGTGCACACTTAAATGGAGAAAAGTGTAAGAACCCTAGGCTGCCTAAACTATCGTTTCCATGTACTTGACAAGTGATATAACGGGACTATGTTTACAAATTGGAGAATTCAAACAAGCTAATCATTTAATGGGTCCTATCTTTGAAGGGGAAAAGCAGATAAACACTGGTGTGAAACAGATTCCAAAAAATGGGTGAACTTTGAAAACATGCTAAGTGAAAAAACCTAGCCACAAAGGAATATATATTGTATGATTCTATTTATGTGAGATGTCCAGAATAGGCAAATCATTGCAGTAGAAAGTAGATTGGTGTCTGCCCCGGGGCGGGGGAAGGGAGGAATGGGGAGTGACTTAATGCATATGGAGTTTCTCTTTGGGGTGATGAAAACATTCTAAAGTTGATTATGGTGGTGATTGCACAAGTCTGTGAACACCCTAAAAAACACTCAATTGGACCTTTTAAATGGGTAAATTGTATGGCATGTGAATTCTATCTGAATAAAGCTATGTTGAGCTTATTTATTTTGAGAGACAGCGGGAGACAGAGCGTGGAGGGGCAGAGAGGAAGAGAGAGAGAGAATCCCAAGCAGGCTCCATGTGGAGCCCCCACACGGGGGCTCAAACCCACGAACCAAACCAAGAGATCAGGGCCTGAGCCAAAGTCAGCTCTAAAAACAAAAGACAGGGACACCTGGATGGCTCAGTCAGTTAAGCATCTGACTCTTGGTTTCAGCTCAGGTCATGATCTCAGTGTTCAGGGGTTCCCGGGGCTCTGGGCTAACAGGGCAGAGACTGCTTGGGATTCTCTGTCTCCCTCTCTCTCTCTCTCTCTCTGCCCATCCCCTGCTTTCTCTCCCTCTCAAAAATAAATAAATAAACATCAAAAAATAAAATAAAAGACAAAGATAAATCAATTCAAGTACATACAGGTCACAAACTTTGAAGTTTGAATTATTTGGTCTGCTATAATTGATGGATGCTTTTCTATGTGAAATGACATCAAGTTTACGAAACCACTCATCATTTCTAGATTTTTTTTTTTTCTCAATAGGACGACTTTTGAATATCTGGGGGATGGGGACAGATGAAACTAGGATTACAGTAGGTCAGTCTACATATTATATTGCAAAATAATTTAGCTGAAAAACTGGACACCTGTGATGACACAGAGAGCTGGGAGGGACCAAGGAGTGTGCTGGCAACATGGATATTAGTCATCAAATAAATAAAAACTTCCTGGCCTTACATGCTAAGATTTAGAACTGATGTCTTTATGTTAAAGCCCCCCTTCAGAAATTCCCTCTTAACCACAGGGAAATTTTATGAAATTAACAATTCACTCTGATCTATTAACATACGACTTCCTGAGAAGACACACACACACACACACACACACACACACACACACGCAGGACATAATGGCACCCTAAAACGAAGGCAATTAGGTTGGGCTGAAATTTATGCAATTTGAAAATTGCATCAAAGCAAAATGTATCCAAATCCTTAGAACGCGCCATAGCGTGAATACTGCACTTCCGATATTGGTTAATAGATTAAAATGTTAACAGAAAAGGTATGCCCTTTCTTGTAGTTTAAAAATGTCGTTAAAATGCTCCAGCAGGGGCTTTTCCTCAACCAAATGCCTCTCCAGCGTTAACGAAATCACAGCACATCCCTTCTGTGACCAATGCCCATTTTACTCACTAGTCCCTGACAACCACCTACAAAAAACAAACGTACCAACAGTTACGACTTTCTGTCCCCAAATTACTGAGCCAAACTACTGAGCACTAGAACTGCCCCATCCTAATCAGGGCACACAGCCCCACAAAACCACAGCAGGGTCAACCGCTGATAAGTCATCACAGGATAGGACGGGGTGCCCCCGAAGCCAGAGCCCTCCGTGGTTCTATGAAGTCGTGCCAGCACCACAATACAAAGCGAGTCACGCAAAGGGTCCGTCGTCCCCAGCGCTCAGGAAAAGCACTGACAGGCTGCTCAGTGGGTGGCGAATACTGGAAGAGAGCAGCCTCCCCACACCCTCACATTTCCTGCTTTGCTAGAAGCCATGTGGGGGCTTTCCTGAGACCCCCCCCACACACCGGAACCGGAAAACCGACCATCTTCCCTAACCCCCCGGCCGGAAGTTGGGGGAACCAGCCGGCGCACTCACCCTGGAAGAGCAGGACGCCCAGCAGTGGGAGCAGAGCGCAGCCACGGCCTCCACCCGCTCCGCTCTGCTGCATCCCGACAGCTCTCTGGATGCTTGCACACCTTGTTTACAGCTCCCGGTAACCACACAGGTGATACCGGAAGTGACGTTAGGGCGGGAGGTCGCGAGAACGCTTCAAATGGCGATTCGAGGTTGCCATAGGAACGTGGCATCTTTCCAGGGCCACACCTGAAACTTGCTCCGACAAGCGATTCTTTTAAGTTTCGAGTAAGAATTAATTACTCCCTGTTGCTTGACGGTGAAGTAGGCCACCGACTTTGGAAAAATTACAATTTATTTGTGTGGGATTCCGCAGTACTAAATAGTCTCGATTCTGCGACTCTCTTCCAGAGGTCTTTAAATAGGTTTCTAGAGTTTTGGTTAGGAGAGATCTAGGAGATCGTACAGCATCAGTCAATAAATATGTATTAGGCCTTCATGATAAATGTGTATCTCAAGTGTCTTTAGTGCCTGGGTTTTTATGTGTTGCTGTTCGAAAGCCAGCTAAGTGCCTACGTAAATTGGGTGTTTATTAAACTGCCGTTCACAGTGGCAATGATGAAATCGGTACAACATGTAATAGAGGGGGAAAGGAACTGGATTTGTGTATCTTTGGGTGGGAAAAGTGAGAAAGTAATGTTTTCACCGTGCTGGAAGCTATGCGATGGTGTCACCTTCTTCTAAGAGACGGGATGGTACCCTGCTACAATTGTTGGTCAACCTATTCTGGAATCTGCGTGTTTAATGAAATCAAGAGAAGAACAAAAGTCCATGTTTCAGCTTTTGGGAAGGCTTAATAACTTTACATTTTTCAGTTCCCATTCCGTTACTAGATGTGAAAGCTAGTGGTTTTCTCTATGAAAAACGTGATGTTAGAGTACCAAACAGAACATAATACCCTTCCTAAGAAAGAGTACCCAGACTAAGTAGTTTGTTGTGCCCAATTCCCAGTTATCCGAAGCAATGTAGAATTCTTTATCCAGTATAAACATTTATTTATCCAGTATAAACTAATTTCACCCATTATTGACTTCCAGGCTCTAAGAAAATTTCTCAGTAATGATAAAATACATAACCATGTGTTTTTGAGTACTTGCTATGTAAACTTTTTAGATTTGTATGTAAGCAAATTATACAATTGATAATTCTTTACTACTAAAGGTTATTTACATATGTGTTTAGGCACAATAAAAAATAAATTACCATACAAAAGTTCTCTTTAGGAAAAAGATACTGAACAATAGGGTCATATTAACCCCTGAATATTTAGCCAAGACACAAGCTACAAGTTTTGCTGAAAAGATTTTCCATGAGGTTTTAACTACTTCATTACACTTTTGGGACACCATTCAGGCCATCTGTTTGAAAAAAATATTGTTATTTTCAAAGGTTGAATTATGGAGAAAAGTACAAAATGTAATTTAAAAGTAATATAGACCTGAAAGCCAACTTTTAGTTTTGGGGCACCTGGGTGGCTCAGTCGCTTAAGCATCTGACTTCAGCTCAGGTCATGATCTCATAGTTCCTAAGTTCAGGCCCCACATCACGCTGCACTGACAGCGTGGGCCCTGCTTCAAATCCTGTCTCCCCTCTCTCTCTGCCCCTCCCCCACTAGCTTATACTCTCTCTCAAATAATAATAATAATAAATACTTTTAATGTAACTTTTAGTTTCCAAATTGGGTGTTAAAATTTTACTTTTTTCGTGTAAAAGGCAAAATGAGATAGGTAGAGAATGAATGCAGAATCAAGGTTCATATGAATATTGTACCAATTTTTCTAAAAATACTAGAAAAAATATTCAAAGTTCAGCATATTTAAATACAGATAACCTATTTGAAAATTCCAGTTTGTTAAAAGAAAGAACATCTTTGGCCCAGTCAGTGAAAACTGAAGTTATTAGGCTATAAAGATGGGGCAGGGGTGGGGGCAACTAAACTTTCAGATGTTTTCTATTTTTTTAATAAATGCTGCTATAACTTAAGTTTGGAAAGACACTGGGAGGTTAAACACTTTTGAAAAAGCACTTTTCTTTCCATAGCCTACTTATAAAGTTTGCTGTCTCTACTGGCATAAGGGAAGAAAGAATAAAGTTGGTTTCATATTGTTAGTTTTGGTATTTCTTTGCCCCATACCAAATCCTCCCTCCCTCAAAACAAGCAAATTAAAGCAAAAATAAAATAATATAAAGAAAAGGAAAGGAAAGGGGAGAAAAATAATCTCATCCAGTTCTCCCAGCTTTATATAACACTGTACAAAATTATCATCACTTAGGCTTGATTTTTTTCACCAGTCCTAAATTTTTATAGTCATAATATACTATTCCAGAACCTTCTGTGTAACTGCTTGAGGATTCCAGTCTGCAAAAGAGCACAGATTTTGCTCTGTTGTTATAACTGAACAGTAAGCTGAACAGTATCCACTGCTCACGGAAGACTTGCTCTGTTGGTTGTTTTTTCGGAACACAGAGAAAAAAGGTGACAAGTGATTCATCCTGAGGTGGCATTTGTCAATCCATAAGCATTTACATAAACTCTTCTAGTTACTCTGTGATTTAGATTTGTGCTAATTATAAATGTGGGATCAACCAAAACAGACAATCATCTGGGATACTGAAAGAAATTCAATAAAACAAGATGTGTCCCATACTCAAGGAGAGCCATAAAAATCAAACTGTTGAAGAACGGGATTTAGGGTTTCCTGTTAATTGATCAAAAATGGCGGAGAGAATTGGCTCATCTTTTAGTTGAGACTGAGAAGGAAAAAGTAAACACATTAACCTTAGTAGCAAGAGTGCTGCTCTGAAGAAACTAATACATTAAAGGAAATGTCATGACTGACAAGATGGCTTTCATCTCATTTGACACCAATGGGCGTGCATACAATTAATAATCCCCAAGGAGTGTTCAAGGGCAGAAATGTAGTTTCTCAGTATAAAAAGCTCATGAGCATTTGAAAAGTATTTGCACTCTGAAATTAAATAAAACCGTAGTGATGGGCTGTGTGTGCGTCTCCCGGTATCAGCTCAAGAGGGCCCTGGGCCTATGCTGGCTCCAGAGAGACGTTGCTTCTCTGGGTGGTTATGTGCTGCAGGGCTGGTTGGAAGACAAGTCACAACTGGTAAAGCCAAAGAAAAGCTTCCATTAACTTCAGCTTATCCTAGGGTGCTTGTTCTTGGGAATCTTCAGCTTCCTGAAATACAGAAGTTTAAATGGATTATTCACGTGGGAAGAGTGCATAGGGGTAACATGGAATTCCGAATTACATCTATTTTATCGAATGTGCTCTCCACTGTGAAGGAAACTGTTCTTAAACGTACTTGTTCTCCTTCTAATTCAACTTTTAGAATATGTTTCCCGTTCCTTAACTACATAGCTCTCAGTGTCCTTAATTCATAGCTTCTGCCTTGCACAGACACTCAGATGATCTATAGCTCGATCACACACATGCATGCCTTCTCTCTCTCTCTCTCTGCCCCTCCCCCCACTCTTTTATATAAAAAAAATCAAGCACACAGAAGAATAGAAAAGACAGTGTATAGAATTCACCTGTCACCTAATTTTAAAGCATTTTTTGCCTTATTTTCCCAATATTTATTTGGTACTTTATTATATATAAATACATATATAAATTTATATATAACAAATGTATATATGTATTTATTTATATATAATAAAAAAACAAATATAGGGAAAATAAATTTATATATAACAAATGTATATATAATTCCATATATACAAATATATATAACATTATTTAAAATAGAACATTTTCCCTATGTCCGGCCTACCTTTTATTATAATCTAATAAAATTAACAGTAATTCCCTAATATTATCCATATTCAAATTTTCATATTCAAGACTCCCAATTGTCCCCCTCCTAATCTTTTTACAACTACTTTGTTCAAACTAGTATCCATCCAGTCAGGACATCCCGTCACAATGCACTTGATCATGTGAGTTCCTTAAAATTTCTTCTCATCTCCGGCTGCCATCAGTTAAGCTGGGTGATCTATCTCTGCTCAGGTCATGATCTCACAGTTCATGGGTTAGAGCCCATGGGTTGAGTTCATGGGTTTGAGCTGCCCGCTGTCAGCGCAGAGCCTGCTTGGGATTCTCTCTCTCTTCCTCTCTCTCACTCTGCCCCTCCCCCCCGCCTCAAAATAAATAAACTTTTTTAAAAGTTTCTTTTCATCTCCATCTTCATTTTCCATGACCCGGACTTGCTAGAGAATCTTCTTGGTTTTTTTGTCTTTGTTTATTTTATTTTTAATGTTTGTTTATTTTTGAGAGAGAGACAGAGCGTGAATGGGGAAGAGGCAAAGAGAGGGAGACACAGAATCCAAAGCAGGCTCCAGGCTCTGAGCTGTCAGCACACAGCCCAACGTGGGGTTCGAACTCATGAACTGTGAGATCATGAGCTGAGCCAAAGTCAGACATTTTAACGGACTGAGCCACCCAGGTGCCCCAAGAATCTGCTTGGTTTTTAAAAGACAATAGCCCTTGGTAAAATCTCTCTGATACCAAATTTGTTCTTCTGGGTTTACAATAGAATCATTTTTCTCCATATTCGATTTTATAAGTCCTTGAGACTTTTCACTGAGACTTTAGGCTACAAAAATATGACTCTTTTTGAAAATAATAATAGCAGGCCTATTCCAGAGAATAGAAAAAATTCTGATCATATGAAAAATAAGTCATCGTATTTTTTAAGCATAATAAGCCTGAAAACTGGTAAAATAAAATTACACACTACTAAAATGGGATTCATAGTCCCAATAACTAGATGAAAGGAGTTGAAATCAATTCCAAATAGTATAAAAGTTCTCCTGCTAAAATGTCAGGCCATGTCAGGGTTCCTGGGTGGCTCAGTTGGTTAAGCATCCAACTTTGGCTCAGGTCATGATCTCACGGTTCAACAGTTTAAGCCCAATGTCGGGCTCTGTGCTGACAGCTCAGAGTCTGGAGCCTGCTTCCGATTCTGTGTCTCCCTCTCTCTCTGCCCCTCCCCCGCTCATGCTCTCTCTCTCTCGCGCGCGCGCGCGCGCTCTCTCTCTCTCTCTCTCTCTCAGTGTCTCTCAAAAATAAATAAACGTGAAAAAAATTTAATAAATAAAAAATAAAGATTTATTTACATGTTGAAAGTTAATTTATTATTCGTGGTCATGGTAAACATAACCACAAAGCCTCAGATAATCTTAGAATTTTCCATCTTCAATGGCAGTAGGGTCTAACTCCCTCATCCTTTGCACAAAACATACTGAAAGGGGAAGCCATCCATAACACTAATAGAAGACTTTCATCTCCCTGACCCAGCTCCTCTAACTTCACGTAGAAAACACCTAACAGTCCTAAAATCTGGAGGATCCACATTAGAGATGGGCCAGACAAGGAAGCTAAGGAAAGAAATCAACTCATTTATGAACCTCACCATCTAAGAATGTCAGTCTGCGTCTTCTAAATAAACAGAGACCTTTTTATCTTGGTTGAGCCTTTCCTCTTCTTTTCTGTAACAAAGAAGCAGAAACCAATGTTAACAAGCAAGGGAGGTTAAAAAAAAAAAAAAAGCAAGGGAGGCAAATCTTACAAAGCTGCAGTTGATGTATTTTCTCCCATGTTTTGGGTAGAATTACATGCATCTGGGAATAGATCCAAAGTTACCACTAGTGCCGTCTAAAAATACACATACTTCCACATGACCCTGGGTATCTGAACTTTGACATGTTTCAGAATATTTTTGGAGGGAAATACAATTTGGGAACTTGAATAAACCTTAGTTTATCATTAGTATGCTGCCTCTAATTCCATTCCTTATTCAGAAAATACAAAGTTTTATGTTGACCTAGAAGTCATCTTTATTGCTTATATTCTATTTTAAGCCCTAACCTCAGAGTTGGGCTCATTGAGCTTCTTCAAATCAATTCCATTTTACTCCAGTAAATATTACTTGCGGGAAAAAAAGTGATGGTGCTGGGACAACTCAAGGACTTCAACTGCAAAAGGATGAATTTGGACTCCCACTTCACTCCATGTGCAAAAATTAACTCGACATGAACCAAAGACCTACTGTAAGAGTTAAAACTGTAAAGCTCTTAGAAGAAAACGTAAACTTTCATGACCTTGGATTAGGCAATGGATTCTTTTTTTTTTTTTAATGTTTATTTTTATTTTTGAGAAAGAGAAACACAGAGTGCGAGTTGGGGGGTGACAGAAAGAGGAGACACAGAATCTGAAACAGGCTCCAGGCTCTGAGCTGTCAGCACAGAGCCCGACGCGGGGCTCGAACTCACGAACACTGAGATCATGACCTGAGCCAAACTCAGATGCTTAACACTTAATCCTGGCACCCCGGCACCAGATTCTTAGATATGACACCAATAGCAGAAGCAACACAAGAAAAAAATAGATAAATTATACTTCATCAAAACTAAAAAGGTCTGTGCTCCAGAGGACATGAAAAAGAAAGTGAAAGGGCAACCCACAAAGGACGAATAACCCAATTTTAAATGGGCAAGATATTTGAATAGATAGATCTCCAAATAAGATATACAAATGGCCAATAAACACATGGCAAGATGCTCAACATCATTAGTCATTAAGAAAATGCAAATCCAAACCTCAGGGAGATAACACTCCACACCCATCAGCTGGCTATCATCAAAAGGTCAAACAATAACAAGGGTTGTCAAGGATATGGACAAATTGGAATGTTGCTGGTGGAAACATACGATGGTGTAACTGTTTTGTAAAACAGTCTGGCAACGCTTCAAAAAGGTTAACAGAGTAACCATACATTCCAGCAATTCCACTCCTAGGTATAATATACCCACGAAAACTGAAAACATGCCTACACAAAAATTTATAAATAAATATTCATAGCACCATTAGTCGTGTTGGCCAAAGAATAGAGAAAATCTAAATGTCCATCGAATGAATGGATAAGCAAACTGTGGTATATACATGCAATGGAATATTACACAGCCATAAAAAGGAACAAAGTGCCATACGTGGACGAACGTTGAAAATATTATACTAAGTCAAGAAGCAGACATAAAAGGCCACATCGGATGATTCTCCATTTATACAAAATGTCCAGAATAGGTGTAGGAATGCTGGCCATACTGCCTCCACCTTTGCCCTACCGTCTTGCTGTTGTCTGCTCGATGACCTCGTCAGGGATACATGTTCTAGAGTAATGTATAAGATGTAAAAGGTTAATGTACAAACTCTAGGCTCACCTTCTAAAACCAGAATGTCCAGGGAATCTGTTCTGGATTTCAATGGGCCCATTAAGATACCAGTGCAGATAACATAGTTTTCTGCAAACGCATGGATGGTGCCATAAGGTCTGCTAGACATTAGCCACCAGTCACGTATATGCAAACACTGCCCCGCACGTCCAGCTCCTTTAAAACCAGTAAGCTGAAACGCAGGGCTTCTGAGGAGACTGGCTGCGCAGCTGTCCAGATGGAGGT